GCTTCAACTCCCAGAATGCCCCAGCTAGCTTGCTTTAAGAGGGGTGGACTTCAACTCCCAGAATCCCCCAGCCAGCATAGCTTTGGGAGACAGGAAGAAGAGGCTGCAGACCAGACAACAGTCAGATAAGAGGCAGCTGAGCATCGTGGGAAGAATGGGCCTGGAAAACATTTCAGAAGGAACCCTTCCTAACTTGTTGGTAGTCCTCCACTTACGACCGCAATTAGGGGGCCAGAATTTCCATTGCTAAACATGGGAGTTGCTCACTTGAGTTGCACCCAGTTTTAAAAACCTCTTTGGCCACGATCGTTAAGCAAATCGCGGCAGTTGTTAAGTGAATCACACGGTCATTAAGCGAATCCAGCTTTTCCCCTATTGATTCTGCTTGTCGGGAGCCTTCCAGGAAGGTCCCAATCAGAGTTCATGTGACCTGGGACACGTCAACCATTGTCAATGCCTGAATTTTGGTCACCTTTGACCGTGGGAATGCTACGAGAGTTACCAATGCAAAGACTGGTGGTTAAGTCACTTTTTTCCCAGTGCCATTGTAACTTTGAACGGTTGTAAGTTTAGGACTGCTTGTAAAAGTAGCCGGGGAGTGTACAGTCGTATTGGCAAGAGTCTGTTAATGTAAAAGTAGAAGTTTTCCTTTTTTAAAGAAATACTTCCACTTCTTCAAAGTAGAATTAATTGATGTGAGTGTGCTTCCTATCTGGACTACCTTGCAAGACCGGTGGGGGTTCCTTACACCTCATCTCTTCTTTCTCTTGTAGAAGCTATTATGGGTCCTCTACGACATGCACCATTTGGACAGGTAAGTAGTTCCCACTTCCTTTAGGGGCCTTGCCTTAATTTTGGCTGGGCAAGCCACCAAGCAGGAGGTTGGATTAGAAGACCTTTAAAGCCCCTTCCAATTTTGTTTTTCCTGTAAACTAGCATGAGTCCCAATGGAATATTTCTAGCTCGGAGTTGGACTGTGGGGTCCTTGACGCTCTCTGAGCTGGGTTGCTTTCTTGCAGATGTTTCATGACCCAACTAGGTAACAACATCAGTTCTAGTAGGAAGTAGAGTTTATAGAAAGGAGGACTGTGGGGTTCGTAGTTCTCTTTGAGCTTGAGAGAAGAAGAAGGAGGAGGAGGAAAGGAAGACTAGGAGTAGGAAGAGGAGAACTGTGGGGTCCTTGGTGCTCTCTGAACTTGATCGTTTTCTTGCAGACATTTCATGACCCAACTAGGTAACATCATCAGTGCTAGAAGGGAGTGGTGTTTGGGGAGTGGAGGAGGAGGAGAAGGAAGAGGAGAACAATGAGGTCCTGGGTGCTCTCTGAGCTTGAATTTTTTCTTGCAGACATTTCATAATTCAACTAGGCTACATTGTCAGTGCTAGAAGGGAAGCAAGCACTCCCTTCTAGCACTGATGAGGTTACCTAGCTGGGTCACGAAACGTCTGCAAAGAAGAAAAAAATCCAAGCTCAGAGAGCACCAAAGACCATCTCTAGCTTGATTCCGATGGACCATGTTGTTGGGGTACTGCCAGTCTGTGCTCCATTCAAAATCCAAGAAAGAAATACTTAGACTCCTTAGATTAGAGAAAAGATATCTTTTACTGAAAATGAAGTGGTAGCATCAGGTAGGATTCTGAATCTGAGAAATTAGGCGCGCAGATCACATATACAAAGTGATGGAAATGTTCCCACCCCCCAATAGTTCAAAAGATTCTTCCAATTAAAAGTTCTGAATATGATCATGTGGACATCTTCAGGTCGTGATGAGGCCTCTGTCCGTTGACCTTGACATATTTTGATAAAGGTTTGCAGCTGCGCAGAGAAAAGAAAGCTAAGCGAGAAATAGAAACCTAAAAGCAGGAATCTATGCTCCCCCCCCCACTCCTCATTTACACAACACAAGAATGTAACACCTCCAGCTCTCTTCCCAGACCAAAGCCCCCCTCCTCCCCCCCGTTACTTATGGCAGCCGAAAGATGCAAAGCAATAGTAGAAGATCTTGAAGGCTGACAGGTACTTTCATCTCGGCTGGTCGGAGCAGAGTAATGGCTTCCTTCTCTCTTGTCTCCCTGCTGATCGATTTGAGGCCTCCTTGCCATAAGGGTGCCATCCAGTGGTGGGATTCCAAATTGCGCACTACTGGTTCGCTCGTGCGCAGCACTCCAAAGATCGCCTGAGTTGTTTTTTTAGCTCCGCTGAGGCATGGCAATCTGCTGCACGATGTTGTGGTTCCCCGGCAGCCGGTGCAGCCGGCAGTGGAGTTGGACAGTGGGGAAGAACGGGGACCAGTCAGGAAGTCTGGGGAGGTCTCAGACAAGGGTCCTGCGTCCGATGCAGAGTTGGGGCCAGGACCATCTGGGAGTGGGGTGCTGCCTCTGGAGTCTGGCAGCAGCGAGGCCGAGGAACAAGGGGAGCCTGTTCCCAGTGCACGCATGCACAGAGCTGCTAGAAGGCAAGAGCAGCTGAGACAAAAGGGGGACTTGGGAGTAAGGCTGGAAGGATATTGCCCCTCCCCTAAGGTATAAAAGACAGGCCAAGATGACGAAACCTGTGCAGGAAGCAAAGTAATTGGTTCAGAGTCATCCTTGAAGCTCTGTGTACTCTGGTTGGTTTTTTCTGGTACTTCAGTTGGTTTTTTTGTTATCGTTAATTGGATACTTTTGTTTTTGGCAGCATTCCACAGCATGGTAAGGCGTGTGCTTATCTTGGGGAACTGTTTTAAGATTAGTTCTGGCTGGGAATGAAAGCAATTCCCAGCGTTGCAATAAAATAGGTTTTGCTTTTAAAATAAGTTTGTGTTTCATTACGTTTGACCAAGCCTGGGTCAGAACACACGAATCAGCTGACCTAAAGAATCAATGGAGTAAAGGTATTTGCTGGTTCTCTGAACTGGCTGAAATTTTCGCAACTGGTACGCCAGAACCGGTCCAAGCCGGCTGAATACCACCTCTGGTGCCATCTTTTTAAAAAAAAACAAAAAACCCCAGAAGGCCAGGGATGAGGCTGGCCAGGGATGGCTGGAATTGCTTCGAGGTTTGGACGTCCTGAAGAGATTCTCCTTCTCGTTGTAGGTATCCAATGGCCTTGGGGAACTTGGCTGATTTGGAAGAACTGGAACCTACTCCGGGCCGTCCTGACCCCCTCTATATATACCAACAGGTATTTTCCTGCTCCTTAAGGAAATGGGTGGGTGGGCGCCAAAAGGCCTAGTGAAAACCAACCTTTATTTGTGTCCGGCGGTTCAAATAATAAAATGAATTTGTCTTCACTTTGATGGAGGTTATTTTGTGATTTATCCTATGCTTTTTCTCTAGGGCAGGGGTCTTCAAACTGGGCTACATTAAGACTTGTGGACTTCAACTCCCAGAAGTCCACAAGTCTTAAAGTTGCCGCTTTTGAAGACCCCTGCTCTAGCGGGTAAGGGAGGTTCTTTTTTTTTTTCATTTCCCACCCACCCCAAGCCCCCCACCCCCAATTACATTTCCCCCAGAGATGTTGAGGCTGAAAAATGGTGATAGAAGCTTCCAAACTCATTATAAATAGTCCTCAACTTGCGAACCACAATTGAGCCCAAAATGTCTGCCGCTGAGCGGGATACCGGTTAGTCCTCGACTTACGACTACAAACGAGGCCAGAGTTGATGTTGCTAAGGGAGAGATGTGTTCAGTGAATAAGAATGGAATGGAATGGAATGGAATGGAATAAAAATAGAATAGAATGGAATAAAAATAGAATAGAATTGAATAAATGTTGGAAG